AATCTTGTATTCCAATACAATACACAGAATGTCCTAACTTTTATGATTGAAATTTTGGAACTGGACTTTAGGCCTCGGTGTCGTATCATTCGAGTATCCAATTTCGCATTTTTTCGTATTTTTCAAAACAATGAGTCCTAAGTAATTTAGTTACATTTATCGGTTTTGATATGAGCATCTCAAACACTTTCACATCTCCCAGAGATGTAATCATGTAAATATATACATTTTTATTTACAACTATCGACAAAAGATGAATAATTTACATTTAGTCATTGCAGAACGTTCTAGCTAAGAAAAATGGTAAAATGCCCATATCAATTTTTTTGCCCGTGTAATTGTATACGACCTTTGTTTTTTAAAGAAAACTAATGAAAAGTTCAAAAAAATTTTAGTTTTAATGAAAAATGATAAATAAAGATGTAGTGAATATTATCATATAAAGATAAAAATATGGTTTTCGTTAAAAATAAACAGTATCGAAAGTATTTCATTAAAATTTCTTTGTTTTTAACCACTGTGTCTCGGAGACAAATTGCACTTTAACAAAAATTGAAGCAGTTCCGGACTGGAGAGAAATCTAACGGAGGGTAAGAGGAGGTCTCAGAATGGCGCCAACAGGGAACAGCCTAGCCACGTGGCGTCCTCCCTTTCACTTACAACTCGTTTAACGTTACACAGAAATGCAAAGGATTTTTCTTGTTCTTTTTTTCTCTCTCAGCGATGACGGAGGGACTGAGACGGAGATAGTAGTTAGCGGACACTCGCAAGCTGACAGAGACGAAGAGCAATTGTCAGAACCACGTCGTGAAGGTTTCCAAATGCCAAGCTCCGATTTCACTTCCTGAAATTTTAATATTTTCGTTGTTGTGGAAGTGAAGAGATGGCTGTGGCGATGGTCTCAGCCGTGAGAGGCGGTCGTTTGCCGTCACTGCACCATCATCACCGCCGTCAGATGATTCTAAGCTCCACGTCGTCGTCGATTATTGGTAGTTGGGGTTCGTTAAAATCATTGAAGCAGCTCATTTGCAGCTCAAACTCAAAGGGTTTCACTCTCTTTGCCCGTTACTCACAAACTCAGGATCTTTACTCCTCCCGCCTTCAAGGTGCTTAATTTCTCTCTCCCGGTAACTTTTGGATTTTGGGTTTGCATTTTGGATTCTGGGTTTATCTCAAGCTTAAATCTTTATTTGATTTATGGGCTTTTTTTTTTCTAATAATTTATTTGTTACCTATATGAACATGAATAGTAGATTATACTTCTGGTAATGGTTATACTCTGGTCACATTGATATTTTGAATCATGAAGTTGCGAACTTCTCAGTGTTTTGCTTGATGGGTACCTCGAAAGATGTTCATTTTTTCACTTCTTTGAGTGAGTGATTGGCTGTTGCCTTTTCATGGACATGCAGAAGTGAAACTTAGGTGTAAAAACTGTTGAAGTAGAAGTACAACTCCTCTGTTTGGCATGCAGTTATCAATTAATTGCATCACCTCTCAGAATGGGAAGGAAACTTTGATTTACGCCTTTATTTAGACCTTGTCATGAGCATCTGTGTTCTTTAGGCTTGAATTCTTTTCTTTCTTGATCACTCTATTCGTTTGAGGTTTTAAGCTGAAGCTGAAATTTCATGCTGTTACCAGATAGGTTTGAAGACTTGCCTAAACTGGTGGAGGACATTCTCCAAACATCAGTAAGCACAGGTCCACATGGCGCTCTTAGGATGTCCAAGGTATTCAGGCGTTTATTGGGGTTGGTGGGGAGTGGCTTGCCGATGTATCAAAGGTAACAGGAACTGCTTGCTTGGCTTTCACCTTGTTCAATTGTCAATTGGTATAGTTCTTGAAACGGCTCAATGGAAAAATGCGTTTATATAGCCAAGTCCAATAACTTGGGATTAAGACTTCACTCAGTTGAGTGTTCTGTTAACACCTAGGCATTCATTAATACTGACCCTTTTATCTGAATAAGCAAACTCTTCAAGAGCATACTTGTAAATGACCCTTCCTTTTGTTTGTAGTCAGCAAACTCATCTGCTGGATTACCAACCCAACTGCAGCTTGGATTGCTGTCCCCCCTTTATTTGAGGAAAATGTTTGAGCGCATGGGGGTGACCTACGTTAAGTTGGGTCAGGTAACTCTTGTTGTATTCTTGTTTATTGATCGCCACTCCATAACTTTATTCATTATATCCATTGTAAATTAGCAAAAGATTATTATTTTACTTTTCTATCTTTGTTCATTCAACGTACACAATCACTATGCTATGCTACTTACAAATGGTAGTTCATTGCATCTGCTCCAACATTGTTCCCATCAGAATATGTCGAAGAATTTCAGAACTGCTTTGACAGAACTCCTGCAGTACCCTTTGCGGAGATTCAAGCAATCTTGCATCAGTAATTGGGGAGACCAATTGAAAGCGTTTATGACTATGTCGACCCAACCCCACTCGCTTCGGCCTCGATAGCACAAGTTCTTTTCTCTTCCTATCAAATTTCTCATGTTCCTCAAACCATTCGCTAAGCTTAGGAATAAGAATTGTGATGTATTTTGTTTAGGTTCATGGTGCAAGGCTAAGAGGCTCCGAAGAAGATGTATTAATAAAGATCTTGAAACCTGGAATAGAAGATATGTTGGTTGCCGATCTCAATTTTATCTACGTTGTTGTCTGCATTTTGGAATTCTTGAATCCTGATATAAACCGCGCTTCATTGGTATGTGCACATAAATTTCTGCATATGCAACAAATGACTTTAACACTTATATTGGATGACAGGTATAAGCATAGTAAATATTTTCATACTCTTAGAAATAATTTACACTGCTAGTTTCTTCAGTTACAACTTACAAGTTATATTCTCCGAAAGCATAACATCTTTGGGATGATGTCAGCATCTTTGGTTCATATGTTGGAAAATGATGGAAGATAGAAGTTTCCATTGTAATCTGTTCATCGTTTCAGTAGGTTGGTATTGTGCAAGATATACGGGAGTCCATGCTTGAAGAAGTTGATTTCTACAAGGAGGCTGCAAACGTTGAGTCCTTTAGGAGATATTTAGAAGCTATGGGACTCACAAGGCAGGCTACGGCTCCAAAAATGTATCACCAATGCAGCAGCAAACGAATTTTAACAATGGAGAGGCTGTATGGAATTCCTCTTACTGACTTGAACAGTATAAGTTCCTTTGTCTCTAATCCGGAGACCAGTCTCATAACTGCCCTTAATGTGTTGTAGGACTAGAATATTTTATCCACCATTCATGTGCTTGTAGTTTTTGTGTTCATTTATTTGTCAAATTTTTACCTCGTCGTTTGGTATGAAATGTCTCTGTAGGTTTGGCAGTTTGCTTGCCTGTGAAAGCTTCCATGCAGATGTGCATGCAGGCAATCTTTGGTTGCTGCGTGATGGCCGCATTGGGTTTCTTGATTTTGGTATAATTGTACTCATTGCTGTACTTATAGTTGTGATTGTCGTCGGTTTCTTTCAATGTTTCAGTTGTTTATACAATCTCCACAAATATGACTTAAGGTTTATACTTTATCTACTGTGCAGAAAAAAGGATCGAGTAAAGATATCGATATTTTTTTTTGTCAGTGTATAATGTATATCTTTGTGGACTTGGTAATTGTCTGTTCTTTAACAACCGTGCATAGTCCCAATATGCAGTACCTACCATTTGCTTGATAGTTTTAGAAGTACTCTGTATTTGTCCACCGTTCAAATGTTATTGACGTTATTTTTTTGGTTTGTTGCCTTTCAGTTATGTGAAATCATTCTTGCGTTTGACTTAAATTTACAGGAATCGTTGGCCGTATATCTCCAAAAACATGAGGTGCCATGGAAATCTTTCTGGCGTCAATTGCAACTGAAGAATATGAATCAATGGCATCCGCACTGATTGAAATGGGTGCTACAGGCACAAATGTTGATGTTAAGGCTTTTGCAAGTGACTTGGAAAAGATGTTCTCGTCAATAAAGGCAAGCATTAAACTCATGAGTTTGGTAATTGTGTTTTGCTTTCCAAATAGGGTTATCTTTTTGGTCTGCACTTCTCCTGGGACAATTTTGGAGCTGAGGGGAAATAATGTTTCGCAGAACGGTGCAGCCAAAAGATAACTTTTTTTTTCCTTGCCTGTAAATATTCCATTGCAGAAAAGAATGCTGCCTAAAAGAGCTGTGCTGTGCCATAGCTAGAAAATACCGAATTTAGAATATAGAACGGAAGTGGCATAGCTGTTTGTTTGAATCTGAAACAAGCTTATTGATAGCAATCACATTCCTTCTAACAATTCCTCATGTGCAGGATTTGGATACAGAAGTAGTCATAGCAACTGCCAGGGAGCCATCTACAAATGCAACCGCTGTCTCAGCAAATCTAGTTGTTGATGAGAGACAAATGAATGCACTTTTTCTCGATGTGGTAAGCCGTTGACTCCCTTTTAGGTTTACATGCCAGCATTATATATCGGTACTACCGCAGCATATGCCATCATTTTTTTAACTAATTGTTCCGATGTCATGAGCTGCTTGCATGCTCTTATTTCAGATTCGGGTTAGTGAATCATATGGATTGAAATTTCCTCGAGAGTTTGCACTTCTCCTGAAGCAGCTTTTGTATTTTGACCGGTACACCCGTTTGTTGGCCCCGGACTTGAATATGCTCCAAGACCAAAGGATTTCCATCGCTTCTAATCGGAGAACCAACTACAGGAACGATTTCAGATGAACCTAGGAAGTGCAGATGCAGCTTCTGGTAAGTTGTGTAAATATAAATAAAAAGTACTCCTGCATTCGGGGTTACATTCAATAGAAACAATGTCGAGAACAAGAAACAGATTGTAATCTAATACTTTACGAAAGCAAAGCATGTATGGTTTTACGTAGGAATTGATCATATGGGATCCTTCTCCTCTTTGATAACTGCTACTAGAAGCAAACAAGGAACCATATAATTGCACTAGATGTGTTATTTTTTTTGTCAAATTGCAAAGGATATGTTGCATATGAACAAATAAATCAAATAGTAGTCTGGTAAACATGTACATACACACAACAATCGAAAGCTTGATTTCTACATATAACATATACTCACTTGTGGGATACTATATCAGAAAGAACGAAAGGGAAGTCCTTTCGCGAAAAAATTCCAAGTCCTAACATGTAGATATGGCAAAAACAAAGCAGTGTCTGTCGTCGAATCACTTCCGGGAAACCTTTGCTTCCGTCAGGGCTCTATCCACTTTATCCAACATTGCAATGCTTCAGGGTCCGGTGAGTGAGACGAAGAAGCTCTTCCGTTTGAGGAAAACCCTCGGGAGCTTCATATAATCATACTCTGAGGAATCTGTTAGTTACTTGGGTTCAAAGTTATCTGTGCAATGGGTATGAGCTTCTCCCTGTCCGAGATGTTCCAGACCCTCTAATCACTAGGCTTGGCGAAGCGTAGCCCATGAGTCGATGAAGTGGTGAACTCGACTTTGCTGGCAGCTCTTCGATTTCTGAGGATAACGACGGTCTTGCTGACACAAATGTTACAATTGGATTCTTATCTTTGTTCTGAGGCTCTCTCAAAGCAAGCTTCTTCCTCTCTCTCATTGGATCCAATGAATTATGTGACATATTTTGGTCCTCTGAATCACCTTGGGGAGAGTTGGAGGGTGCAAAAGCTCCAGGATCACCGTCAGAAGAGTAACTATGGTAGTAAGAGGGTCCATAACCATAATCATCAGAGCATGAAACAGGATCCGCATGGTGAGCCAAGTTACTGCCATTAGCGGCAGCATTATAGTCGCCAACTTCACTCAGAGGGGCTATAGCATTCTGTTCGTAGGGGACAATATGAGCTCTCTTTTGGAGCGAAAACTTGAGCACCTCCGAACAAGCCCCACATCGAAGTCTATGGTATCTCCTTTTGAAAAGGAGAAAATCTGCAGGTATCTGCAGCAGTTCTGAGCAGTTGTAACAAGTTATGATTGGGGCTCCACCTGCTATGGGGCGGAAATGTCGTTTAGCCAAACGTTGTGTCTCTCTGTAAAGCTTCTTCGCATCATGCCTTTGGTGCCTCAGATCATCAGACATTGTTTCATGGCCCCAAAGAGGAGAATCAGATCCCATATACCGTTCAGGAGTTCCCATATACCGTTCAGGAGTTGAAGGACGAGACTTGTCATAGGATGTCCAGCAACTGTGACCAGGGTGAACCCTACATAACCTGTTGTTGCTGCAACGAACGGGTTGAGACAATGGTGCTGAGCACTGCCAGTCTTGGGGGCCATAATGCAAATATGAAGAATCAGGTTGGTGCCTGCTGGTTGTTGCCTGACTCGAGAAAGGTATGCGCATGTTTTTGCGGTGGTGCTGGGGGGGATAGAGGCTGCCTGGCCTGTGTCTTCTCGGATACCTCTGATAGTTTGGATCATGATAGAGTTCCTTCTCGAATGCCTCATAGCTACGGTACTGGGGCATGTTCTTCTCCTTCCAAGTGGCTCCTCCGGCAACCCTTCCACTCGCCTTTCCATTCAAACTGTTAACTTGATCCTGCAGTTCATAAACCATTCTCAATAGTGTCATCTTGTCCTGTTCAGCCTCCACAGACATTTCAGATGATTGGTAGCCTGAATTGTGCTGGTACTCATTATGGAGTTGACTTGTAGGGCCTCCATTTTCGTATCCACCTTGGGAAACTCTTCGAGGGAAAGCCATCCTATACATAGATTCATCACTTTGCAATCTGTTCCAATCTCTGCTTGGATGACCTTGTCTTCTAGGCGGCAGTGATGCATCTTGATCCCGCTTTCTGTATCTCATGGCACGATCATTCTTCATGGGCAAATTTGACCAGGGATCCCTTGGTTGATGTTGCAATCCTGAATCTTTATTCATCATGCTACTTGCCATGAATTTATCCCATCTGGTTCGTTCTTCAGAATGAAAAATATTTGAACGTGCAGTTCGGTTGAGGTACTGATCATCCATGCCATCATAAGAAGAAACACTGGCATCATAAGCATGATGACTTCTATTTGCTGGGGACTTTGACAGATCTCTTGGTGCACCGCTACGATCAATGCTGGGGAAGAACTCCGTATTTTCAAATACATCAGGAGACCTTACATGATCAAAGCCATTGGAAAAAGCACTATTCTGAGGTTCCTCCAGTTGTCCATCAGGAGAAGATGTCAGGGAATCCAATGAAACGCTTTCCCTTGCCGGCATATGAACAGTAACTCTCTTTTCAAATGCATCAGGAGACCTTACGTGATCAAAGCCAATGGGAACACTGTTCTGAGGTTCCACCTGTTGTCCATTAGGAGAAGATGTCAGGGAATCCAATGAAACGCTTTCCTTTTCCGGCATATGAGCAGTAACTATATTTTCAAATGCATCAGGAGACCTTACATGATCAAAGCCATTGGGAACACTATTCTGAGGTTCCTCCTGTCGTCCATTAGGAGAAGATTCAAAGGAATCCGATGAAATGCTTTCCCGTACGGCTGTATGAGCAGTAACAATTGAACTACTTCCCCTCGCATCTCCTGGATTTACAGTATTTGAGTTCTGGAAATCAGAATCAATCTCCTTGTTGATGTCTACCTCCACATTTGTTTCTCCTAAAGGTGAGCTCCCATCATTTGTTAATACTTCTGCACCTTTTTGTGTTTTTGGTAATGTCTCCTTAACTTCATCACTTGCAAACTCAGTCGATGAACAAAATTCACTGGAAACTTCAAGTTGCTCACTATCAAAATCACGAGAATCATTTCGATCACTCTGATTATATTGGTCTTCATTTGGTAAGTTTATATCTCCAACTTGTTCACGACCACAATTTTCAGAAGACTTATCAGGATCCTTCATACTGGTTTGATCTGAAGTGCACTCTCCTGAATCTTGAAGAGTAGCCCCATGACTTGAGCTGCCAAATTCTTGGTATTCAGAAGACTTGATTTCACTCTTGTTATTGTCTTGTTCTGAGAAGCATTTTCCCGAGTCAGGAAAAGTTGCCTCAGGACTTGAGCTGCTAAACTTGTTGCCTTCTGAAGACTCAACCATATTGCTTTCGTTGTTTTGGTCCGGTAGACATTCTCCCAAGTCAAGATAAGTAGCTTTTGGACTTGAACTGCTAAATCTGTTGCCTTCTGAAGACTTAATCTGATCCTTCTCATTGTTTTGGTTGTCCGATAAACATTCTCCTGGAAAAGTAGCCTCAGGACTTAGGCTGCTAGATTCATAACCTTCCGAAGATTTACTCTGGCCCCTCTCATTGTTTTGGTCTGAAGAGGATTCTCCTGACATCAAAAGACTTGCATTATTACTTGAAGAGCTCAATTCTTTGTCTTCGGAAGACTTATCTTCACTCTTCTCATTGTTTTGGTCTGAAAGGGACTCTCCTGGGTTCGAGAGACTTGCATTATGAGTTGAGATGCTAGACTCTTTGTCCTCGAAAGCCGCATCTTTTCTCTTCTCGTTGTTTTGGTCCGAAAAGCTTTTTTCTGAGTCAACAAAAGTAACTGTACGAGTACTTGAGCTGATAGATTCGTTGCCTTCTGAAGATTTACTCTCATGCCTCTCATTGTTTTGGTATGGAAGAGCTGCATTCTGACTTGAGATGCTAGATTTCTGTTCTTCGGAAGGCTTGTCTTCATTCTTCTCGTTGTTTTGTTTCGAAAAGCAATTTCCTGATTCAGGATAAGCAGCCTTAGGAGTACTTGAGGTGCTAGACTCGTTGCCTTCGGAAGACTTACTCTGATCCCTCTCATTGTCTTGGTCTGAAGAGCATTCTCCAGATTCAGGAAGAGTTGCATTGCAACCTGAGCTTCTGGATTTTTTATCTTCCGAACCATGATCCAAACGAATCCTCTGAGCTGCCTCAGTGTCATTTACGCTAGCGCTCTTGCTTTTCAATCCATTTATTCGACTTTTCGCTGCATTCAGAAGGATAGTTTAGGAAACTAATCCGAATCATAAACCAAAAATCCAAATCTATAAAACGCCACAGATGAAAAAAGGAGGAGCTCAATTACTCAGAACGTGAATCAACAGACAGAACATGCAATTTCATATACTAAACAAATTAAGCAATCCAAGAACACAACTAAGTCTTTTAATCTATTAGCAATTCAGAATTTTTTTTATCTTAATCCTGCAGAAAATCTCGCTTACAGGGTCAGGCCAGTTGGCCAGGCCCTGCACCCAAGTTTGAATCCCCCAGCCCATAAACTGTAGTAGTTTAGAACAGATTATCGCGTTATCAATTAAAATATCGCAGAAAACCTCAGTAGTATGGCATTGTTTACAGTGAGAAATGAATTAGACAAGAAAGTGGATAGCAAATTAAATTAGTGGGATGATTTGATTTAATACCTTGGAGAGTGACGCCACATCCGCCACACTTGTAGACCGGAATTTCGGGCAACTCCGCAAGAAGCAGCCGGCATTTCGGACATCGAACCAGTCGAACTTTTGTTGTCAATTCAGGAGACATCTTTGTCCAGCACAAACAAAAGGGCTTACAGTTCCAACAAAAAAGTCTCGAACTTTGAACTTATTGAACTCCAAACACCATCTGAATGCAATCAAAACATGTTTCTGGCATCAGAACAAAAACTAACTCTCCAAAAAAACAAAATTAGATCCATGAAATAACAAGAAGAACGACAAAAAAACATAAAAACAGGAAATTCTGAACCAGAATTTGAAGAAATTAAGGAAGCGGTACCTGAACGAAACAGAAGTGAAACTTCAGAGAGATCCGAGAGAGAGAGAGAGAGAGAGAGAGAGAGAGAGAGAGAGAGGCAATGGATTTGTTGGGGTGTTTGGTTTTCGAGAAATGGGTGAAGAAGGCAAAGGCAAAGGGAGTTATTTGGCAAAAATGTTGAAAAAAATAAATAAATAACTAATGGCAAAGCTCCTCAAAGTCTTTGGGAGTGTGGAAAAGTGTAAGTCTTTGATTTCCAAACAGAGGAATTTGATGATGGAGGATTTGGAATTGGTCTTTTTTTCCGTGGCAAAGAAGCTTCTATCTGTTCAGACCACGGCTTACCGTCAGAAACACGGCCAAGCTCAAAGACTTAGAGAGAAGAGAGAGAGAGAGATGAATTATGTCTCCGCCGACCATATTTAAAGCGTCACTGTTGACGTGTCATCCTATTGCTAACTCTGAGATTAAAATAGGGAATTGAAATGTCAAAGTTACGAGAAATTCTTGTGTTTAGGCAGAAAACTAAGTTATTGTTATATTTGTAGACAAAACTAGTGAGAACCCTGTAATTTATCAAAGATTCTCTTTTGAAATTAAAATACAGTTTAAGTGGAGTTACTTGACCAATAAATATTTGTCACGTGTTCAAAAAGTACAATAACTATTTAACATTGTTGATACGCGGCGTCCTTGATTACATGAGAGTATCCATCACCATCCCACTTTAACCAACCAAGCACAAAACAATCGGTTTGGCTGTGAGTGGGAGCATGGATAACATGATTCTCAGACGGATACAAGTTTCTAAAGTGACGATATCTCAACTAATCATAGAGTGATTTTGTGAGACAAATAATTTATGTTATCAATTCAAAAATGCTAGGGCAACGTTATAGAGCGTAGGTAGGCCCTTTTATACTAACTCCCTTCCCCCTCATAATTCAAATCAATCAATGTAAAGCAAAATATTATAGCCATTTAATTTTTTATTTTTTTTAAAAGGAGAACAACTAACAACCAATCATGATTATTCATCTATTTTGAATTCAGATAATTAGTTGAGAATTGCTCCTTAGACGTGATTACAATCAAGCAGATTCGCAACTTACAAAATATCAAACCCAAGACCTTTAATTATTTTCTTTAGAAAATTGATGTCCGCAATTTTGAACTAGACTACTTGTCGTGGTTCTATAGCCTTTTAATTTGAGTCCTTCGCTTTTGGTGGTTACCAGTTGGCCATAATAGCCAACTACTCTTTCCCTTGCTGGCACGACCGTTATAAGTAGGTATTTTTGTTATTTTACTAAACTCCAATGTCTCTAGGTCAAAGTCAACTTCCTCGGCCACTCAGCCTCCTCCAAATCCTGTTTCTGGGTTTTTGATGGGAAATGCCAGGGGAGTTTTCAGTTTTCTAAAATCCGCATTGGCTACTAAGAATCCCAGAAAAAACAGAGAAAGGGTTGCAAAGTCAAAACTTCTGGAAGTGTACGTGCTGTCTCTCATACATGCATTCGTAAGTCTGGCACTATAGGAGAGGAGAGTAGGTACGTTTTTTGGGTGGGTCCAAATTTTGACAATAGGGGATCAACACATAAACCAAGTCAAATCAAAATATTAGGTTAATTAACCACTACGAGGTAATTCAATGATTGGTGCGAATTTCAAGCTTGTATTTTACACGGTTTGTTCTGAGTATGATTTTTAGCGTTAGTGAATCACATGATAGTGCTTATGGGGTGATTGAAATGCCTCAAACTATGCCACCAGCTAATCCATTTTTATGCAAAATGAAAAAAATAAAAATTATTAGGTTAATTACAATTACAATAGTAAGCGGAAGTTGGGATATATATTGTTGAATGTATAAACGATATAATAGATATGTGATTAGTAGGAAAAATGCTTACTAGTTAGTAAGTTAATGCAATATTTTTTTTTTTACAGGTATAAGCACATTTCACAATATTTATGACGATTTAAACCAATCATATTGGTGACCTTAAATTAAAAAGTGTTTAACAATCTAATTATGACCACAAATAGACAAACACAAAGTACTAAATAATCAATGAAACGTTTGTCAAATTTTCAATGACTTAACGATGTTTTATTTGAGTGAAATTTTGTAAGAAAGATTTTTCTAGTGAATACCTAAAGGATGAATGACTTTGATCTTGATATTAAATTGTGGAACGAATTCAATTAAGTAGTTAATGTCGTATTAACTTATTAATTAGTTAGCGTTTGAGCGCAATTATAAGTGAGTTGATGAATCTCAAGTATAAAACCAAAGATTTCCTCTAAGCAAGGGTACCTCTTGGAAAAAGACGCGGCCGCTCGTGCTTCGAAACATGGCTTTGCATTCACAAGGGAAAGAAGGTTTCAGCATTTCTCCATGTGACGACTTGATTTCGACGTCCTGACGCGCATGAATGTTTCCATGCGGGGACTTGACTGACATTTCAACCCCTACATAAGTCATTTTATTTATCAAACATTTCTCCGTTGTTCTCTTATTCCTGTTTTATTCTTGTTTGTGTTCCCAAGTATTTTGCTTTGCATTTGCATGCCTTGTTGTCCTTCTTGGTAACCCAAAAAACAATTTGGAAAGATATTTTAATGTACTAGAACACGATCAAGTACATTAAGTGTAATTAGTATAAGATAAATGCTAAGAAGACTTTCTTAAAGTGAGACTCTCTATGAACTCTCTGCTACCTTACTATTTAACAGTCAATTTTTATATCAATATTATAAAACATTGTACACAAAACATGATGTGACATATAGTCCATAGTCTATACAAGGTCACTACGTATTAGAGAATCTTCTTAATATTTCTTTTGGTACAATTGGTTGAAATTTTTTTATTTTTCAAGTTCTAACTAATTGTATTAGTACATTTAATGTATTAGACCGTTTTTCCGACACACTCATAAATTTACACTCGAATGCCAATAAACAAAACGTATGGGATAATGGATTGGCCTATGAGAACTCATTAGCTTTTACCGCTTTTTATAGCATCTCAACACTCAGACATAATTATTGAAATGTCCGCATGTTTTTACCTTTTTTTAGTTCCTACATCCACCAAACAAACAGATTGAAGTCTCCTGTGCAATTGGAGGCCATGTGAGGTGAAATAAGTTTTCCTAAGTTTTATAGGGGCTCACTAAATTGAGCAATGCTAGCATGAAAAACTCTAATTTGTGACCACGTCATATGCATTGTAGCTCTACTAAGTGTACGAAGCGGGTGTAGGTGTTGGATGGGGTGGGGGAATTGTCTGGTTTGGTGGAAGAATGCAAGCAGTCTTGCTTGTTTGTGAGAGTTATCTCACCGAGGACGTGGTTAGGCTGTCCTATTTGGAATTTTTTTGAGAAATTTTTTATTATGATAGGAATATGGGTGATACACCGAGTAATTTTTTTTTTAAAGTGGTGATAAATTGTATTTTTTAAGTTATTAACTTTTTAGCACACATATTCTACCATTGATATGATGATACGTGATGTACCACTCCGTGTTCCAGTCACATTAAAAAATCTCTTGATTTTCTCATGCTAGCATGGTCATCTATATTGTAGATCATTGATGGGTAGAGTTCACAAAATCGAGCAATGTCATCATAGTTGTTCATGATGTTACTATAGCGAGTCTGTGTATTTATAATCACAACTCATCAACCGCATACAATCACTCATGTGAGAATTTATGACTTGTGCTACTTAATCCTACGAAGGCATGTATAATATTAAATAAATTGCATACATTTACAAAGACAGCCTTAATGCCCAATTGAGTACATTATTGTTATTATTTTTCTTTGTTTTTTTTTTTTTTAAGTACATTGATATTTTTACTCTAAGGGAAAGAAAGTTCGGCTAAACCACACAATGCAACCTAATTTGGTATCGAATTCACCATCCACAAAATTCGAACTTAAGATGTCACATCCCGGCCCAGGGTGGATCACTTCCCGGGCCCATTCCACCACCGTAGCACGATATTGTCCGCTTTGGGCTTACTATTCCCTCACGGTTTTGTTTTTGGGAACTCACGAGCAACTTCCCAGTGGGTCACCCATCATGGGATTGCTCTAGCCCCTTTCTCGCTTAACTTTGGAGTTCCTATGGAATCCGAAGTCAGTGAGCTCCCAAAAGGCCTCGTGCTAGGTAGGGATGAGAATATACATTTAAGGATCGCTCCCCTGGGCGATGTGGGATGTCACAATCCACCCCCCTTAAGGGCCCGACGTCCTCGTCGGCACACCACAGCCAGGATTAACCTCTGATACCAATTGTCACATCCCGGCTCGGGGTGGACCACTTCCCGGGCCCATTCCACCACCGTAGCACAATATTGTCCGCTTTGGGCTTACCATTCCCTCACGGTTTTGTTTTTGGGAACTCACGAGCAACTTCCCAGTGGGTCACCCATCATGGGATTGCTCTAGCCCCCTTCTCGCTTAATTTCGGAGTTCCTACGGAACCCGAAGTCAGTGAGCTCCCAAAAGGCCTCGTGCTAGGTAGGGATGGGAATATACATTTAAGGATCGCTCCCCTGGGCGATGTGGGATGTCACATAAGACCTCTCACTTCTAAATGAAGAAAAATATCACCAGACCATAATACTGAGTGTCTATTATTTTCCGTTGTTAACTGGCAGACTCTAATAAGTACTGATTTGACCATATGACCCTAAACAAAAACTTCTACCATACAAACACATCATAAAACCAATTTCCAGACTAATTGTTTATCTCTTTCTTTCTAATTTTTAATGTATTAATTTGATTTCATTATAATTTTTATTTTCATTTCATTCATCGTAATATATTTTGTTGTGAACATTTAGATAAACTAATTTTTGTTATACAATATATTTCGATGTACTTTAGATACAAACATTTAGGTAGATTAATTCAATATAATACATTTTCGGTACTAACATTTCGGTGCATACATTTCGGTACACACATTTAGGTACATTATTTAATATTAATACATTTCGGTGTATATATTTAGGTACATACATTTCGGTACTAACATTTAAATATATTAGTTCAATATAATATATTTCAGTACTAACATTTAGGTACATTAATTCAAGTTTGAAGAATGTTAAATAAAAATAAAAAACTCTTTTTTTATCAGAAAATAAATTAAAATTTTTGTATTAATAAATTTAAATATTTAATGGGAGACATTAAATAAAATGCACATTAATTATTTTGAATTAAGGACACATTAGAGACTAAAATCAATATTCAATCTAACACCAGGTTTTTTTTTAATTTTAATCTTCTTGAAGGATTAAAGTTCAAAAATCCCTTAATTTTTTTTATAGAAATAATAAGACAAAAAGTAATAGGAATATAAAATGTTGCCGTAGCTTAACCGTGACCACAAAAATAAAAGGGGATAGAAGAGTATGGGATGTGAGGGCAAACAATTCAGGTCCTATAATCACAACTCATCAATTGCATACAATCACTCATGTGAGAATTTATGACTTGTGCTACTTAATTCTACAAAGGCATGTATAATATAAAATAAATTTGCATACATTTACAAAGACACCCTTAATGCCTAATTGAGTACATTATTGTTATAATTTTCCTTTGTTTTTTTTTTTTAGTACATCGATATTTTTACACTAAAGGAAAAAAAGTTCGGCTAAACCACACAATGCAACCTAATTTGGTATCGAATTCGCCATCCATAAAATTCGAACTTAAAACATTTCACTTCCAAATAAAAAAGAATATCATCGTACCATAATAATGAGGGGCTATTATTTTCCTTTGTTAACTGGCAGACTCTCTAATAAGTACTGATTTGACCATATGACCCTAAACAAAAACTTCTACCATACAAAAACAACACATCATAAAACCAATTTCCAGACTCATTGACTTCGGAAGACATAATCTGATCCCGCTCATTGTCTTGGTCTGAAAAGCATTCTCCGGATTCGGGAAGAGCTGCATTACGACCTGAGCTTCTGGATTTTCCATCTTCAGAAGCGCGATCCAAACCAATCCTATGAGCTGCCTCAGTGTCGTTTACGCTAGCGCTCTTGCTTCTCAGCCCATTTATTCGACTTTTCGCTGCATTCAGAAGGATGGTTTAGGAAACTAATCCGAACCATAAACTAAAAAACTGAGTAGCAACATGCGGAAGTTATTATCCATAAAACGGCGCGGATGAAAAAAGACGGAGCTCAATTACTCAGAACGTTGAATCAATAGACAGAAATGATCGGTCCAACATGCAATTTCGTATATTAAACAGATTAAGCAATCCAAGAAGACAATTTAGTCGTTTAATCTATTAGCACTTCAGAATTTTTTTTATCTTAATCTTGCGGAAAATCTCACTGACGGGGTTAGGCCAGTTGGCCAGGTCCCCTGCACCCGAGTTTGAATCTCCGGCCTCATAAATTGTAGAAGTTTGGAACAGAATATCGCGTTATCAATAAAAATATCGCAGAAAACCGCAATAGTATATGCCATTGTTTACAGTGGGAAATGAATTAGACAAGAAAGTGGATAGCAGATTAAATTAGTGGGATGATTTGATTTTGAATACCTTGGAGAGTGACGCCACATCCGCCACACTTGTAGACCGGAGTTTCGGGCAACTCCGCAAGAAGCTGCCGGCATTCCGGACATCGAACCAGTCGAACTTTTGTTGTCAATTCAGAAGACATCTTTGTCCAACACAAACAACAGGGTTTCCAGTTCCAACAAAAAAGTCTCAAACTTTGAACTTATTGAACTCCAAACACCATCTGCAATGCAATCACAACATGTTTATGGCATCAGAACAAAAGCTGATTCTCCCAAAAAAAAAAAAATTACATCCATGAAATAACAACAAGAATAACAAAAAGATATAAAAACAGGAAATTCTGAGCCAGAATTTGAAGAAATTAAGGAAGCGGTACCTGAACAAAACAGAAGTGAAACCTCAGAGAGATCCGAGAGAGAGAGAGAGAGAGACAGAAAAAGGCAATGGATTTGTTGGTGTGTTTGGTTTTCATGAAATGGGTGAAGAAGGCAAAGGAAGGTGCTGGCAAAAATGTTGAAAAATAAAAATAAAAATAAAGTAATGGAAAAGCTCCTCAAAGTCTTTGGGAGTGTGGAAAGGGGTAAGTCTTTGATTTCCAAACAGAGGAATTGATGATAGAGGATTTGGAATTGGCCTTATTTTCCGTGGTGAACAAGCTTCTATCAGGTCGGACCACTGCTGACCGTCAGAGACACGCCCAAGCTCAAAGACTTACAGAGAAGAGAGAGAGATAAATAACTTCGAGATTAGCTTACGAGAAATTCTTGTGTTTAGATGGAGAACTATGTTATCCTATGCCCACACAAAAAAACTAGTGAAACCCCTATAATTTACCAAAGACTATTTCTTGCAACTAAAACATAGTCCAAGTAGCGTCATCTGACCGATAAATATTTGTCACATATTTTCAAAAGTAAAGCAACTATTTAATATTGTTCATATGTGGTGTCTTTGATTACCTGAGAACATCTCATGTGTAATAAGGTCTACCACCATCTTACTTTCAGCAACGAAACACAAAGCCATGTGTTTGGATGTGAGTGGAAGCATGGATAACATTGTTTTTAGATCGACATAAAGTGATGATACATCGAATTAATCATGAAGCGTTTTTGTGAGAAAAATAATTTATGTTATTTATGATGTTATGGTAACGTTATAGAGTGGTGGTAGACCCTTCCATACCAACTCCCCTCCACTCTAGCCTTTTATTTGGGTCCTTTCCCTTTTGGTGGGGGAGTGAGAGATTTTTGTTTTTTGTTTTTGGTTTTATTTTTTAATTTTTTTTTTAATATTAGAGGTATTTTAACATCACTTGTAGGTGAGGTTTCAATAAAAAACAGTAAAATTTAAACATGTGAAATTACATTATTGCTCATCATTTTTTTTTGTGTGATAAAAGATTAATTTATCTTTTCATAATTGATAAAAAAAAGATTTCATTAATTATTAGAGATAATAACGAACCACTTTTTACCTTGCTGGCATGACCGTTATATAAGTAGGGTATTTTTGGTATTTTACTAAACTCCAAGTCTCCAAGTGAAAGTCAACTGCCTCAGCCACTCAGCCTCCTCCCAACCCTGTTTCTGGGTTTTTGCTGGGAAATCCCAGAACAGTTTTCCCTTTAAAAAAAAGAAAACTAATGAAAATAGTTTGAAAATTTTGAGTTTTAATAATAAAGAAAAATAAAGGCTAAAGTAAATAGTATCATAATTAATTTTTTAGTGTAAAAATATGATTTTTCGTTAAAGTAAACAATAACGTAAATTTTTCGTTAAAACTCTCTAAAAAAAATTCCCATTGGCTTGCAAAGTCAAACTTCTAGAAGTGTATGAGCTGTCTCTCATACGTGGCATTCGTAGGTCCGGCACTTTAGGAGGGATTTGGATTTCAAAGTGTGGAAATCCAAAGACTCTCGCATTTTAATTATTTAATATTTATTGTGCGATAAAATATTTTTTTATTTAAAAGTAAACATAAACAATACTTGATAAAAACTGATCATACAATGTATGATAAATAACTAAGATGTGAGAATTTATAATATTCTTACAAAGTGGATCCGGAGAAGATTATCTCCCCTTTGGGAGAGGAGAGTCGGTATGTTTTTTGTGTGGGTCCAAATTTTGACTTTAGGGGATTAACACATAAAACAAGTCAAATTAAATTATTAGGTTAATTAACCACCAAGGGGTTGGCATCATGGTTGAGACAAATTTCAAATTTGTATTTCACATTACTTGTTCAAGATTTGATTCATGACGTTGTCGAATCACACGATAGTAACTAAGATACCTCTGTAAATCTTTACAACCCAAAAAATATAGATTATCGTGACTCGATCACTAGCTGGTCTTTTTTTTTTAAAAAAAAAAGAAAGAAAATTATTAAGGTAATTACAATTACAATAGTAAGCGAAATCTAGGTTACATATTATTGAATATATAGCCGATATCATAGATATGTCATTAGTAGCAAAAATGCTAACTAGTTAGTAAGTTAATGTAATATTTTTTTACTAAAATAAGCACGTCCACAATAATTATTATGATTTGAACAAAACATATTGGAGACCTCAAATAAAAAAATATTAACAATCTAATTATGATCACAAGTAGACAAACAATGTTATTAATAAAATATTTGATCAATTGTTCAATGGGTAAGGAAGATTTATAGTAAGTACTTCAAGAATGAATGACTTTTATCATGAGATCAAATTGTGTAATGAATCCAATTAAGACCCATTGGATAATGGATTGGCCCATGAGATCTCTCTAACTTTTACCTACTTTTTTAGAATAGATTTTTCAATATGCTCAGAACACGGAAGAATACTCTATGTCTTTATACAATTGAAAAAACATTTGAAAAAAAAGTTTCCTCCACTTGTATCCTTCCGTATTCCGAACACACTAAAAAATCTTTTTTTTTTTTTTAACAAGAGCTTACACTCGACATAATCATTGAAATGTCCGCATGTGTTTACCTTTTGTTTAGTTTCTGACACCGACCAAACAAACAGATTGAACTTTGAAGTCACTTGTGCATATGGAGGCCATGTGAGGTGAAATAAGTTTTGTAGGAGCTCACAAAATTGAGCGATGCTGGCATGACAAAATCTCCCCTTTGGCAGCCTGACCACATCAAAGACACCCTAATGCGTAATCGAGTACATTATTATTAGTATTATTTTTGCCTTGTATGTTCACTGGCAGAGACAATAGATTATTAAACCTCTTTCAATGGTAATGTTTTGACCATTTTATCCCCTAAACAAATGAGAAGACTGAGTTTAACACCTTAATCAACAATTAGCAAAGCTTTTTCATGCCATTTTTGTTCTTTAACATTCAAAATCTAGAGCATTTATTATCATAATTAACTAAACATTGATATAACATCCCACCTGAATTGACCTTTTGACCCTAAACAAAAACACAGCACATCATGCAAGAGACATCAAGTGAGCCTCAGAAACATACTAGAGCATTCCATAGAAGAAACCGAGTTTACGCAGCTGCAACCGCCCGCCGCCTGTGCGCGGTAAATGCTTGACGAAGCTCTTGGTATCCGCTCCTGTAGTGCTCCAGCGAGAAGCAAAGCTGCCGGATCACCTCTCTTTTCTCCTCAGCCCCATCCGAGATCACAACACTCTGCCTTGTCACCTCTTGCTGCAACTCCTCCACTCTCGATTTCAACTCATCTACTAGTCTATGTGCACATTCGGATCCAACAATCACACCCTCGTGTTCTGTTCGTAACAGACTAAGATGTCCCGCCATTTCCTGAATCTGATTGTCGCGGGAACTCACATTCGCCATAAGAGTTTGAGTCCTAGCATTGAGCTCATCTTTCTCCGCCATCAGCATATCATATTTCAGTTTAAACCTGTCGAAGTCTTTATTTACAGCTTCCACATGTCCATTTCTGTCAGCAAGTTCTACTTTCAAGCGGCTTATTTCATCTTGCAATGCCATCTCGCGGACAACATGCAGCCTTTCCATTTCCATCTTATCCGTTTCACATTGCCTTATTTCGTCTTCTAAACTCTTGCTTCTGAAGCTCAATTCTTCGACTCTTGTATCCAAAAGGATTTGTTTCTCTGAAAAACTTGAAATGTCAGCCTGCAGGTTTGCTTTCTCAAGAGAGAATTGTTCCTGTGCATCATGCAATGCACTCTTCAGCTGCATCACCTCAAGATCACGGCCGTGTATATCAGCATTGAACCTCACTATCCTCTCCTCCAGCTCCGAAACATGCTTTCTCTCCAAGTCAAGTTGGGCTTCCAGACCTTGCATTTGATGAGTGCCTTTGGAAATTCTATGGGCATGTTCATCCTTCAACTTTACAATCTCTTCGTCCAACCCCTTAAGCCTTTCTTTAGTCACTTCCAAGTCTCCCACCAATCTCCCAATCTCATTTTCTCTGTCTGATGCCAGACTCTTCAACTCAACTATCTGATTTTGCAGCTCAAACACCCGCATTTTCTCCATTTTAAGGTCAGCCTCCCTCATTTGGAGCTTCTCTCTCAAGCTAGAAAGTTCGGTTTCAAGCTCAGTAATCTTCTGCTGCCATCCCTGGCTGTCAAAATCATCGTTCGGAGGTGGAACCAAGTAATTGCTGACGAAGGAGTTAAGAGATTCTGACTCGGATCCCGATGATGATGAGGAAGATGATTCACTGCCATTCTTTAAAGAAAGAGCTGGGCTAGAACCATCTGAGCTTGGTGATATATCTAACCCAACAACTTGATGGCCGGATTTCTGCAGACCATGTTTAGCATCCGGAGTCAGCAGAGGAGAGCGTTGGTCGAAACCATATTCAGAATCCCCAAACCCCTTATGCGCTTCTTTGGTCAAGTGTTCATAGCATCCAGCCAGCGATCGATACATTCTGTGAAATTCCTCAACCAATTCAGGCTTCTTCTGAGAAAACGTTTTGTCATTCATTGGCAAAGAAACGCCATCTTCTTTGATCAGCTTCATCATTTGCTTAATCCTTTGGTCCATCTCTATAAGAACCAACATTTTGAACACTTATTAGGACAAATCAGCACAGAAACATTACGGTAAGGAACAATATATAATCAGCAAGACAGAGAACAACAAACCAGACGGGCTCGAAAATAGCCACTTACCTTCAAGATTTTCTACCAGCCACATAGAAGTAGAACGATCTGGGGTGATACCATTGTCCAGTTCTGTTGAATCTGACTCCTTCAGTTCTGTTCTCTCCATATCAACCATCTATTGGCGTCAAATGATGAAAAACACACCACATAAATCCTCAGAAAAAACAGGAAAAATTAGTAGATATCTAAATTCTGACACCGATTCGGATGAGAACAGGAAGTTCTGTGGAAGAGGTGAACGGAGAACGGTAGCTAGCATTCTTCTTAGTTCTATACAAAGCGATATTTGGAAGGAATTCAAACACAGAACCTCGGGTGAAAGGATAAACGCTCTTAATCACTCAGAGCGACCAAGAGTTGCTAGTTTAACTCTCTATTAGGCAATTAAGTACTCTTTTAAACACATATTCACATGAGAAAGATGCAAAATCAAATCAATCAAATCTCGAATCAGATCCGAGATAAGAATTCCTATACATTTCTAATTAGTAATTTAAACGAAAGCATCGAATATGCCATTGCAGCTGACAAGTCACCAAACCACATGCAAGAATTAAAACAAAAAGCGATTCTGAAAAAAGCATAATCTGTACGCAATCGATTCTATAAACTCAAAAGCCGAAAAGGTGAATTGACAGATCAACTAGAAGAGTGAGCGAAATGTCACTCACCTTTTGCTGCAACAGAGGTGAAGCGACTCAGAGAGAGAGAGAGAGCTCCAGATCCAATACCTGCCCGAATCAGAAGGATAACCGAAGCGATTAATCGGTGCTTTTGCGTTTTGAGCTAAAAGCGGCTTTTTTCAAAATTCAAAATGGATACATTTGGTTGGGGACAACGAGAAAAATTTGTTGCCCGCGCATTCTGTCACGGATTTCTATGTGCCCAAAATGCCCTCCCACCCACCATTTCTTTTCAGTGTCGTAATTTGTGTCGATGGGTATTTTCGTAACTTAACCAACTACTCCAATAATTAAACCCTCACAAGTAGGAGAAATTTTTGGGAGTGACGGGAACACCACCTCAACAAAGTTAGGTGGTGTTCCCAACCAATTAAATGTTGACAGCTAGATGTTGTCATTTGTTCACTTAAAAAATACTTGAAAAAGCTGAAAACTCAAAAACCAAAAGATTCCTCGTAACTCTGTTAACATCTCCGTTTCTTTGTTTCAAATCAAAAGCTTTTTGCAAACTTCAAGGGAAGTTGCAGACTCAATTCCCTCTTCTTTCTTTGAAAAATAACAACAATTCCCTCCATTTCTCACAAACTCAAACCCAGACCAAGGTATTATGGATGGAGACTTAAACCCAGACCAAGGTATTACGGATGAAGACTCAAACCCAGACGAAGGTAGCTTTCTGCAGGTAGCCTCAAACCCAGATGAAGGTATTTGATTTTGCCTTTGAATAAGTTGTATGTGTGAGGTCTGAAAACATTTTGCATGATTATAGGACATTGCTTTTTTGCTTTTGGCCATGATATTTATTTTTAATAAAATCTGATTATTGTTGATCTCCCAATGAATAATGCAGTCATTGATATTGAAAGCAATGTAGAAAATATTCAATGCAATGCTCGAGAAAAAACTCCACCTATTGTAAGTCTTGAAGAGAGTTATGTTGGAGATTTGTATGGAAAGATTGTGAAAAATGAGCAAGAAGCTTATGATCTATATAATGAGTATGCAGCACGCATTGGCTTTAGCATTCGAAAGAAACAAAGAAGATATGACAAAAATGGAGATCTTTCAACACTTAATTTTTGTTGTTCAAAAGAAGGTTTTCGGCAAGATAGTGACCCTTGTGAAGAGAAAAAGACTAAGAGATTGGACGAGAAAACAGGCTGCCAAGCCAAAATTCGATTTTTACTAGAAGATGGTGAGTGGAAAGTCTCTACCTTTGATCCTGAACACAATCATGAACTTGCAATGCCAGAGGAAAGACAATTTTTAAGATCAAATCGTAAAATTTCAGAAGCTCATATGGGTGTGATTAAAACCATGGCGAATGCAGGTATAAGAACTACAAATACGTACTTATATTTAGCAGAAGAAGTCGGTGGGTCTCAAAATGTTGGGTTTACGAAAACAGATTGCTACAATTTTGTTAGTAGGGAAAAAAGAATTATGCTTGAAGCAGGGGATGCTCAAAGCTTGATCAATCATTTTAAGCGCAAGCAAGCTGAAGATCCAATGTTCTTCTACACGGTGCAAGTTGATCAAGAAAACCGAATGACTAACTTTTTCTGGAGGGATGGAAGGTCCAAAATTGATTATGAGTGCTTCGGGGACGTAGTAGTATTTGATACTACATATCGAACCAATAAGTACAACATGATTTGTGCTCCTTTCGTTGGAGTTAACCATCACTGGAGTAATGTGTTGCTGGGTTGTGCCTTTTTGTTGGATGAGAAGACTGCTACATTTGAATGGTTGTTTGAGGCATTCTTAGAATCAATGGGGAATCAAAAGCCTATAACCATTTTCACTGACCAATGTCAAGCTATGGCAAATGCCATTATGGTGGTGTTTCCTGGGACATGCCATCGTTTATGCACATGGCATATATCAACGAATGCTACAAGAAATATACCAACACTTTATGGAATCCCTGAGTTCAAAAAGCTATTCAACAAGTGTCTTGACGGATGTCAAACAGAGTTAGAATTTCAGCATACTTGGGATGCAATGATTGAGGAATTTAACGTTGCACAAAAAAAATGGCTTAAAGGTCTTTATGCCATTCGTGAGAAGTGGTGTCCAGTGTTTAGCCAAGATGCTTTCTCTGTGAGGATAAAATCCACACAAAGAAGTGAGAGCATGAATAATGTTTTCCACCGTATGTCTACTAAAACGATGACTCTTACTGAATTTGTGCTTCATTATGAAAAACAAGCAAATGGCATGCGTTCAAAAGAATTAGAAGAAACCTTTCGTTGCAAGCAAGGTTTGCCTTCTACAGCAGCTAAAAACAGTGGTTTTCTTAAACGTGCTGCAAGTGTCTACACGAGAAAAATTTATAAATTTAAAATGCGTGAAGTTGAAAGTGATGGAACCCTCCAAACCTTTGAACTTAATGAGGAGGGTCACAGAACAGTTTATGTTGTCAAATTCAATTCCTCAACTTTCAACATCTCATGTAGTTGCAAGAGGTTTGAATCCATGGGTTTGTTATGTCGTCATGCTCTACGGGTAATGAATGTAAAAGAAGTTTCTCAAATACCCAATCAATACATATTGAAGCGGTGGACGAAAGACGCAAAGAAAGAATGGAATGAAAATGAGCATGGAGAATCTTTACATGTAAGTGACAATTTGTTAGTGACGTTACGTTGGAATACTTTGATGCGGATTGCTTATGGTATATTGAGTATGGGAGTTGAGACAGAAAGTTGTCATAGAATTGCAATGAAAAAATTGAAAGAAATGGCACAATTGCTTGACAAAGAAATGAAGTCAAATGGGGAAGAAATTGCTAATAAAGAAAGCAATGACGTTTTGAATGATGCTACTGTTCGTGATACTGATGGAGTCAATAACTCAGCTGATGAGGCACCGGTGTTGAATCCTCCGAGTGTGAGGCCAAAGGGAATAAGTAATGCTAGATTGAAAAGTCATATGGAGAAACGTAAAAAGAAGACATCAAATGTTCTTGGCTCATCTAGTAAGAAACTTGTACATTTTAAATGTTCACATCTGTGTTATTCTTCTGATATATATATATTAATAGTAGTTGTTATTTACTGGTTCAGAGAAAACCAAACCACGAAGTAGTGGTGGTCCTTCACATACCGCCAATGCCAATGCTCGTTTCCCTTCAACTAATCAGGTAAACTAGTTCTATGTTTGATTAAGTATATTTTATATATTTTATTTAATTATTTATGTTGGGTCTCGTATCAATGTTTGTAGTTCTATCCAACCACGAGATTGTCAACCACCAATGTCCAGACTAGTTTGCCTTTATCTAATCAGGTAAACAAGTATATAGGTTTGAAATTTGTGTTGGTGTTGTCAATATTTATATATTACAATTTTCATTTTTCTTTTAGAGTCCCAACTACAGTTGGTCATGTTCCCCACCAAACTTTGCCTTCACCAATGTGCTCCAAAGTCAAAACTGTATGAACATTTAAATCAGGTATTGTGTTTTTCCTTCTACCTTTTGCTTTGAATTAGGTATTTGTGTAAATTCTTTGTTGAAGTTAAATTCTATGTAATGCAGGATGCCTTTCCTTGTGGCTTTGAGGAACATGAAGATGCTTGTAACTCCTAATTCTGATCATTTTAGAATTCACGTCAAGATTTCAGTGGTTTTGACAAACATCAAGTTCATGAAAGAATGTTTTCTTGTTGTACTATGTTAGACTTATTATCATAAATCTGAAGCTCCATAATTTGACATTAGAATATGTAGCTTGGAAGTTTGGAATTTGACATTAGAATACATATGACTTGAAAATGGTTAAAGTTGATTTTAGATTAAAATGTGATGGTACAAGAAGTTTGGAATTTGACATTAGAATACATATGACTTGAAAATGGTTAAAGTTGATTTTAGATTAAAATGTGATAGTACAAGAAGTTTGGTTTAACCCCAGAAATGAGTTTGGGATTTAACCCCATATAGTGCTTAAAGTGTCAGATTTGCAAATATAGAATGCAGGACACGGACATAAGAAGTCTTGTAACTTTACCTTCATTAAATCTTGGGGTGACATTTGTTTAATGGATTGGATCGATATATTCAACCATTTAGTGGAGACTAGAGATGATCAATGAAGTTGATAACGAACCATTGATCATCCAATTTTCTTGCTTAGACCTCTAGATTGCATTTGGTAGCTCCAGTAAAACGGCATAAGGTTTTCTTGTTTTCGAGTTGTGAACAGGTAATAAATAGAGTTTGTTTGAAGTTCTGCAAGTGTTGTATGAGGAAGGAACAGAGCACAGGCTGTGTTCAATGATACTCACATGTGCAAAATGCTAATCCTATGGTCTAAAGCTAACTGGTTTTTAGTGTAAAATCCCTAATTTCACTGCATTTGGATTGATCATAGTTCCTGACTTATTAAACTTAATATCTCCTTGTACATTTTGGGAACTTGACAGCTTAAAGAAGTGCTCATAAAAACAAATTACACAATATCTACTAAAAAAACTTAGAGAAGGGACTCGGTTAGTCAACAAACAGGCGCCTCACACTTAAATATTAAAGAACAAAGAGAGAAAACCAAGCCGAACTCTTCAAAATTCGTTGGCACACATGCCTCATTGGCTCAATTGAATGTATAATGCATACTTAGATAAAACAATTCGAACAGTAGCTCAGAAACAGTGCTGAAATTCCATTAGCACTAATCACACACTGCCGGAACAGAGATCCTAGCAAAGCTACACCAATTAAATGATAAAGACTAAGAACCATAAGGATGAGGAAGAAGATGGACTTCAGATTGCTGGCAACCCTGTTGTGATGAGGCCAAGTCTCCATCCAGAATTTGGAAAACCCCTAAACTGGAAAAGCAAAAAGATTTGGCAGTTGCCCTGTTGTGATCACCCGACGACGCAAAGCTCTTTTCAATTGAAATTTAGGTTTGAGTCTGAGAAAACAACTTCAACATTTAAGGTTTTCAGACCACTTATTCTACCCATAAAAATCTAACAAAATTAAAAATCATACATGCAGAAAGCTAAATTAGGTTTAGGGCAGCTCTACCACCGCTTGCACCGCCACAACAAAAATAACCAACAACAACAACATAAAGTGTAAGGGCAACGGAGGCCTTGACAACAAGAAGTTCAGGTACC